TCACAACGATCCTAGTGAGCAAACGTGGAATGTCTGTTTGCGGCCTAAAAGCTACCTAGTCTGCAAGTGGATATCTTATAGGTTTTTTTTGACGTTTTGTAGGTTTTTTACATGATACCCATGCCATTAGGCAAGTAAATGTTGAAAATGGCCACCATGACTCTCCATCCAATAATAAAGATTTTGCTCAAAACGTTGCCGCACATTTTGCAATATTATGAGGAGTAATTTGAAGGCACTCATTCACAATTCTTTGTCGCAGGTCTTCTAATGATGTTGACTGAGTAGCATAGATTTTGGTTTTTAAATGACCCCACATAAAGAAATCCAAAGGTGATAAATCTGGCGATCTTGGGGGCCATTCACTGGCACCTCTTCTACCAATCCGTTGATCTGGAAACGTCTGATCTAAATATTGTCGAACACGTAATGCGTAATGTGGTGGGGCACCATCCTGTTGGAACATCAACCTATTCGCAATGTACCGCCGATCATTCTCATTTTCAATTATGGCTGTTAATACAGGATCTATGGCGTCTTCCATTAATTCCAAATACATTTCACCGGTCAAATTTCCAGGTAAGAAAAAAGGAGCAACTAAATGATCGCCAAAAATACTAGCCCAAACATTTAATTTTTGTGGCTGCTGTGTATGGACCTTATGATAAATTCTGGGATTAGAATCGGACCAATAACGGCAGTTATGACGATTTACTAACGCCATTTAAGAAAAGGGAACAATCGTCCGAAAAGCAAGCGTTGATTAGAAAATGTTTATCGTTTATAATTCGTTCACTCATATCTTCACAAAACTGTAATCGTCGATCAAAATCGTCTTCATTAAGTTCTTGTACCAGGTGAATTTTATACGGATGAAAACTGTGGGCCTTTAGAATCCGTTGGACAGTACGTCGACTAACACCACACACAGTCTCCAATTTACGGATACTTAACGTAGGATCTACATAAACTTGCCCTAAAACCCCCACTTCTATTGCTTCGTTCCTTATGGGATTTTCAATGTTGCGTGTTTTATTGGCGACTGACCCAGTTTCCCGAAATTTAGCTACAAGTTCTAGAACATATTTTCGATGCATGTCGCTCAATAAATATTTCTGCTAATAGAACAGCGCACTGATTTATTCCGAAAAATATGTCGATAATTTCAACTCTAACTGCTGTGGAATATACCATGGTTAATTTATGTAGTAAACCGTTACAAGTTATTTTAGCAACAAAGTTTGGTCAAATCAATCGCAAACTATGTACTAAATACCTATTGAAAATAAGATATTTCTTTATCTTTCTCCAAGAAATAACTTTTTTACACAAAAACGCTCCAATAGCCATTTTCAACAACAAAATGATAAACAGACCATGGGCATAGTGAAGAAAAGCATTTACTTATTAAGTAAATTCTTTTAGTCAAATTTCTTCTGAAAGTAGTGCAAACTAAACTGATGCGCCTATTGAAGTCTACTTTAGGCTCTAAATCAATGAATCTTCAAAACTACTGAACTGAAGGTCATGTATTTTACATCATTATAAAGGGAATTGAAAGACCTTTATAATAAGGTATCACTCGACCCCCTCTTTCCTTTCAAGGGTTGGTGTCACCCTCGCCCAGCGGGCTGCACGTGTTATCCTAATTTTTCGCCAAACTTGTGTCCCCCTCGAAAAAAAAGCGACGGGTCTGAGCGTTTTTCCAAAAAAGAACTGAGCTTCCAGTAAATGCGTCTGTTTCGTTTTCGATGCGCCACCCTGTATATCCTTGCAGTATGTTAGTTATAGTTATAGTTTTGTACATGCAAGTAAGAAATTAAATACAAATTATGTGTCCCACAATTATATGACCAGATAACCTGAACGTGCCGCAGTCCAGGCGAGATTTAAATTTGCGTTTTGTGACATATCTTGCACCTAAATTTTACAATTTGATTCCTGCTAATATTAGGAATATTGGAAATAATAAAAAATTTAATGTTTCGTTTAAAATGTTCTGTTGGGAAAATCGTGAACAATTAATGCGTTTATTTTAAGTTGCTTTGAGGTAGACTGATCTGCGTATTTGTTTCTTTCCTTTCTTTTTGATATAATTGTGACACTTTTTTTCTGTGATCTTAAGTTAAATCTATGACTTACAACAAAAATATGAAATTTTCTTTCATTTTGTCTATATCGTGTTTCATGTTTTGTTGGTATTGTTGGGTGTTTTTATACAAAAATATGTATTGCACGATATTTATCAATTAATTACTGTTTTTGACTGTTTTTGCGCATACAAGTTTTTAAACTTAGGCGCGCGCTCATATATTATAGAGAAACCTTGTTTTTGTTTTGTTAATGTATAGATGTATATTATTTTTATATTGGTAAATTCAGGTTTTGCTGAATAAATGCTGTAGAGTTCAGGGCGTACTGTTCTCTCCAACAACAACAACAAAAATGTGATAATAACTGAAAACGTTGCTGTTGCCAATCACTAAATAATGAAAACATAACAAGGAACACTGCAAGTTTTTTGATGATTTGATGAACTGATCGTTGATCTTTATTTACCTTTAATATTGGACGATGATATGTTGGGTGGACCTGGCGAGGTGGTCCAAGCCCGTCGACTTGGACCAACTCGCCAGGTCCAATCGAAGTTGGATATTTTTATATGCAATGACCGCTGGTACCTTTTGTATTTTTTATATCTGTTTAGACACGTACTGTTCAAAGGTTCATCTAGTTTTCGGTAAATATCTGGAAAACTTCTCATAAAACAAGCCATTTACAATAAATTAAGGCTTTTATTTTGCAAATAACCTCATTATTAATTACGTATTTCTCCCAAAAAAGATGCAACTTGGCAAGAATGGACATCATTTATCTTATCAGTCAAGAAATGTACGTTATAAAATAGCCATTGAGAATCGTTTGTACTTTCAATTATTTCTTATAAACTCAAAAACTTTGATCTCATTGAAAATACGCTAAAAATGGTTATGGAATTTCAAGAAGACATTGAGAAATCACAACACAACACCTTTACATAGTTTACCAAATAAATACCATCATTAACGTATGTATTTTGAATTGTTATTTTAAGCTAATAAGCTGATGTGGCTGGTTTTGAACCTTTTTTTTCAAAAAACAACGATTTTTTTTTCAGTTTCACATCTATTTTCCTTAGTACTATATAGTGTATGTTGTATTCTTATAATTTACAGCATCATTTTTTGCAAAAAGCAAAAAAAGACAGGGTATAAAACCAAAAACCAAACCAAAAATGCAACTTTGAAGTTCTATAAAATAGCAAGCAGAGGGTTCCCTAAAGAAGAAATGATATTTTCGTAAAAGTTACATCCTAATCTTTCATTTTAAAGTTAGAAATGAAGTATTTGCGATATACGTTAGTACAATAGTCTTACCGACTTAGATGTGTAATAACGTAGCTAGCTAGCGATCAAGCTAAAAACGCACCCGTTATATCTAGACTAGAAAGACATGAGTTTGATATGTTCTAGAATCACTAAAATTAAATCGTCTATCCAAGTTTTTCAGCCCCAAGCAAGACTTTGCGTTAGCCTGTAGGTTTTAAATCACAACAAGTGGTGATCCTCCAGTGAAAAGTTGATGAACACAAGCATGACTTTGAAAGGAAAATTTTGATCAACATCAAAATGACAGTTAAGCTTGGACAGAAGAACTACGAAAAGAATGAAGATACATTGACCAATTTTCTGTGTTCTAACTAAGCTTTGCTGGTGATGTGATCTCTTGAAAGTCGACTGGTGTCTGAAAGCAGATGATTGTTGCGCTGTATTGCTTACTGATCAACAGTTCAATAACCGAAAGATGAGATGAATTTTTTTTGCGATGGTGATGGATCAAATTGTTTTATACGTTGGTGCAAAAAAAAATCTGCGGTAGTCTCTTAATTTGATAATCAATCCAGAAGAGCTTGCTTTACTGAAAGCCGTATTGGATAATTAATTGTGACTTACACAAATTTTGCTAGAGATGGGTAGACCTCTCCATAATTCCTTTTTCTCGTTGATAAATGCAGTGCTTTCCAAAAAGCTACTATTTTTTTGATCGAGAAATGTTGGCAACTTGAAACTCGAAGTGATGGCATTAATGCACGTATACTGTACAAATACTTTAGCGTGGCAGCAGCAATTGAAAATGGCAAGACTGTGTGTCATCTTGTGATATTTTTTGCCTCTTACGAGTATTCTATCACCCTTAAGTATGTAATCGCTAGCCTCTAAAATTACAAACTGTCAGCTTATCGAATTTCTAGATTTCAGCAGGGCGCCGTCCTCGGGTATTTCTTTAAAATGGAATGTGAAGTCGTCTGATATCTCATTTTGAAGATATTATGAGTAAGTTATAACCAGAACCAAAGTAAAGCCGAAAACGGGAGTCATAATAGTTATCAGAAAACTATAAAAACATTAGATTAGATCTCCGTGACGACTTGAGACCAAGAAAAATGGCACGATAAATGAAGTAACATTATTGGGAATGAGTTACGGTTCTGGTTGGGAATGCATCATGCATCGGCACGTGACTGTTTCCAGTTGAACGTCATATTCACCATACAGGATGCTCCGTAATTAATTGGACATAGTAAAATAATAGATAGTATGATCCGAGACAGATTATTATACCCTTTTTATGGAATAGTGCTCAGGGGCCGCTTAATACGAGGGATCTTGCTGAGGATACTTTCACCTAGGTGAAATGCCAGAAGAGAGTTCTATGTATATGAGAAAAAGTGTAGCTTTTTTCCTGACTTAGCTCCCTCATTATTCTATAACCATGTTACGAGTTATCCATTATGTCATCCATGAGAGAATTGCTGTGGTGCCTCTAGCAATGCTTTCATGATGCTAATGTCAATGCTCTACTTGTAGGCTGCTGGAATTTAGGTTCCGATACGATATTTAAAAAATCACCAAATATTCAAATAATTGGATAGGACAATACTCTTACTTATTTGTTGCTGATAATCTTTATTCAAAAGAATGACAGATATTCAATAGACGTACTTTACGTAGATTGTTGTAGAAGAGTCAGGTAAGAATAGGCGGTCTTCACAATCTGAAAATAACAGAAATTCGCAGCTGTGTAAGTTTGAATAATCAGCTAAATATTGAGCTATATCAATTCGAAAACGTTTGCCGAACTATGGGCCAAACTGCTTAATAAATGTTTTGCGTACAAAAAGATGACTATAAACTTCTCTCTAGGCAGTTTGAGCTTCTTCCATTTCCCACCATTTTATGTCTATAAAAGCACTTACCAACACGAACAACGAATACTGGTAATTTCCAAATGGCTCAGCAGACAGGGTCAGAGGCTTCTGTGCCTTTGCTAACATAAACATAACATTCTTCTGCTCTTCCACTGTTCCCAAATGCCAATCAATCTTGTAGATTTCATCTGCGATTGTTTCGCTCTTGAATAAGAAATGAGGGCTCACGATGTGACCATATTCTTACCTGAGTTTCAACTGGCCGCACGAGCTAATTTTTGACAACATTTAAGCTTCCTTTCAAAAAACCGTCTAATTAGCGTGTGTGGTTAGCTTCACTTAGGATAAGAATGGTCACATCATAAAGGTACGTTCTCAACCATGATCCTATTACTGGAGAAGATAAGCCCAAGCGCATGCAATCAACCTCGCGGTGAAAAAAATTCCGGAGAAGGTTGACAAACGTGATTAGTTTTGTCAATTTGTTGTCTGGTGTGTGTTAAAATTCTCTCTGTGTAAAATATAATTAAGAAACATTGAACTGAACATTAAACTATCATGTATTGTGCAGTGATAAGTTGTTCAAGCAGCAACAAGAAAACCAGAGACTTTTCAGGCGCGTCTTTAGTTTTACAAAAAACAAACAGCCAGTTTTGAAATGTATTCAGCAACAGAAATCTAATAATTTCTAATTGAATGTAATGGATAGAGCCATATTTCCATATTTTCGACTATTTCAACACAGGGCTGTTAAAATTGCCCAAAAATTCATTAAAATGGATTACGCCTTAGTGTAAGTGCACAAGCATTTTTTTAATATGAAATGTGTTTGCTGCGAACGGCGAACTACCGTATCTCAGGGCCCACTACGTAGCTCAAGACGTCCCTGATTGGCCCAGATTCTGATAACAGTCTACATGCAGATATTTTCCGATGAGCTGGAGGAAAGATGACTGGAAGCGACTTACTCTCTGACCAGACCTGGAGGTTATTACTGACAACGGGCTTTGCTCCTCAGAGCTCTTCTCCATGATGCCGCCACGCGATGTGGCTGCCAGGCAGACTTGTCTGACTTCGGCCTCCCTTCCTAACATTGCCGGACTTCGTAAATTGAAAGCTATCCGATACGACCGCTCTCTTGTCCCTAGGGTATCGAGATTGTGGGATAATCGACAGGAGGACGCTTTTCTCGGTTCTGATAAACTTGGACAGTTCAAAAAATCGGATTTACAATGCTTCTTCAAGGTTCTCACACCAGCCGCGGTGCCCTGGCACCTAGGCTTCTGTCTGCGCGGCTGCTTCGGTTTAAAACAAGTTCAGTATCAACTCCTGCATATTGCGCGCTGTGTATCAATCTGACTATATCTGTATGAGGTGGGTTAGAAATGCTAGGTATTTACAATAAAATATACAGTAACCAGCGTTTTCCGATTACTTCAATAGCCATGGCATAGAATAATCATTAGAAAAATGTACTTCAAACTTTTCTCCAGAGATGTCGTTTTGGGACTCGTACCTTTGTAGTCGCAGCCTGTGCGACCTCTGTTTTATGCTAACTAGCCTTGATAGTCTCTTATTTTGAACTTTGTCAAAGATTTCTGATCGAATGTTTCCAGATCTAGGTCGCATCAACACTTATCACCGTGGTATGAACTATACATTCGGCAACATTCGGCAACTAATTGAATTCCACCGCTTTTGTGCAGGATTCTTTGTTATAATTGAAAAATACCTTAAGCAAAGTTATTTCTACAAAATTAAATGAAGTAGTGTTATTTAATACCTCAGACAGAAGCGATTGCCCTGCTTCTACAAAGAAACTCAATGCTATCATGTAGCCTCCAAGGTAGAGTGCTGCTCCCAGTGGTTTACTCTGAAAAGTTTGAAAATTACTTGACAGGAATACTGAATGTTGAATAATTTTTCAAAACCAGATTTTCTCCACACACCTTGAAAATTTGATTTCCTATACATCCAAAACATATAGCCCACACTGCAGACATGTGGCCTGCAAAAGTCTTTAGTAAACGATTGAGTTGATCAGCCATCCTAAGAAAATAGAAAAACTTATCATTACGAACAGTTGACAGGCATAGAAGATTTCTACAAAAAATTCTAGGATGGTGAGATACTCCAAACATTGGTGTTCTCATCAAATACTTATTGCATTACGTAATCACGGATTACCAGAGCGGTAACCATAAGCTGATGAAAACTAACCTTATGATATGCGCATGGTAGCTGACGCAGTTCCTTAGACTGACAATTCTTCGTTGTACATCTGGCTCCCGAAATAGTAACTTTAAGTGGTCTTCAAGATGGTGAATATGAGTTACGATCAGCATCACTGACTCATAGAACATGAAGCAGATTTGGCCAGCTGGCATCAAAAATACGTAAACGATCAAAACCTGTTAAAAATGGTAAAATGCTACATAAGTTTTTAATTAATTCAGGATCGTTTCCAATATATTCGTGTGGTCTGATGTCAAATATTATCAAGTGCTTAAAATTTACATGTGCTCTTATGATTCAAAACCCATTTTAACGTCCGGAAGTTCATGAACTGAAATTGGTTTTCTCGAGAAGCTACAGAGTTTACCGAAGAAAAATATAATAATATAAGTTTGGATTCATTACATGACCTTGTGTATAAAAGTATCTGCGCATGGGTACCTGAATAGCAAAATTCAAGGGGAGCACATTGGTGGCGCCATAACTTATGTTCAACAAGATTTCCATCTCGGGGCGGGCCGGGGATTGAATTTAATAAAAGAATCTATTCCTACTTTACAGGCTACAGCTTAAACGGCTTGATCGCTTTTGACATATGAGGTGTCTCTAGATTTGTCTTGACAGTGCGAATGACAATGGGTTTACTGAAGCTTCATAAAATCAAAATGGAGGATTTAAATTGAAAATGCTAAGTTTGAATTTCTTGGTCTACGGGCTTAAGCTGCAATGTCTTGCGATATAGGTGCCTCTAGATTAATTTTGACAGGGCGAGTAGCACCGGTTATACTAAAATAACAATGATGGATTTTAAAGGCAAACTTCAACTCTGAAATTTCAATTTCAGGGGCTACACGTGATGTGTTTTTACATTCGTCTTGTTATCACAATTTCTTCTTTAATACTTTCAGTTACTGCAGTGGGATTGTTGAATTTTTTAGAAATATACCTGTCCGTTTTTCAATGGAACTGATCATCTTTGGGAGGAGGGGGGTACATATCTCTAATTTTCAGATCTAGCAAGGCAATTTTCTGCGGATGTTTTAAAAACCAAAATAAAAACAAGCACGCCACGCGATGATTATGGAACAGGTACTACAAATATATTCTCCCATACTTCTCTTGCCAATCAAAACCACATGTGTTGAAAAAATCTTCTTTATTGTAAACGGTCATGTTCAGTACAATGACTTTGACAATATATTTCATTAATGCTTATCTTCCAGGTCTCTTTCATTTCATATTCATATTCCTATTCACTATGTTACTACAATAGTGCGAAAGGTCCCGTAACATGTTGATACTGCGCGAAGCCAGCATTTCAAATTTCAAGATGGCACCACACAAAATCAGCATAGCTCAGGGCCGCCAAACGAAGGCATTTTTTAGCATTTATTTGCGTTACCTGCATGAAAAATATCATCCTTTGATCTGCATCAAATGGTAACCAAACTGGAATCAATGTGACGCAGAAAAGATTATCCTCTGTTCTGAAAATGAAGTAATCGGTAACAACTTTGCTCTAAAATATCTACGTAGGGCAGGGGTGCGTTTCATTTCCTCATAATTTTCGTTCGAACAACAAATTCAAGGCCAACTAACCTATGAACTTCCAATATAGCGGCCGTATGAAAAAACAAAGTTGGTGATGGAAGTCAAAAGAAGATATAAATAAACATATAAATAAAGATATGAATAAATATAAAGATACCTCGAATTGAAAACTTGACTACGCCATCTTGTACAGAAGAAAAAGTGACAAGAACAGGATACAGCTTATTTTGAAATCCGAACTGGCCATGAATCTGGTATATGGTCATTTATCTGATAATTTCAAGGCCTACCAAGAAAATTCAGTTTTTTTATAACCAAGGTCAATGTATGACATATTATACATTTTTTGAATCAGAATTAAAAACTATTCATCCACGCAAAAATCCAATATGCTGTCCATTGGAAATAGAAGATTGATGCTGGAGAATAAGAGACGTGTCTTTTTTTGAGATCTCACTACAAATAAAGTAAACGAAAATTAAAACGATTTTAGGAAAATCCGTTTTTTTCGTATCTCTGGAAGTACTTTGATTTTCGAAACTTTCTAAGCAGCATTCTGCTAGTTGCCTATTATCGTATCGTCCATCGTGAGTGTCCAATTTGAAATACCCGGTATTCAAAATTTCATTCAAATAACGGGTGATTTTTTAAGAGGTATAGGATTTGATTTTCAAAAAAAAGGAACACAAAAAATTTGAAAAACCGATTAAACCTTTATTTGAGTCGATAGAACGCTCGATATAATTTAATGTTTAAAGGTTATTTCATGCAAATGTGGGCCGCGGCTCCGCTTTAGATGGCCCATGCACAAGGTCCAATTTTGGCACACTCTCTCCAACATATCGGCCGGTATCTCACGAATAAATGCTTCAATATTGGCTTCCAGTGCGTCAATCGTTGCTGGTTTATCCCCGTAGATATTAGCCTTAACATGGCCCCACAAGAAATAGTCCAACGGCGTTAAATCACAGGATCTAGGTGGACAATTGACGGGCCCCAAGCGTGAGATAAACTGTTCACCGAACTCGCCTCACAATAGGGCCATTGTTTCGTGTGCGGTGTGGCATGTGGCACCGTCTTGTTGAAACCACATGTCAGCCAAGTCCAGCTCTTCCATTTTGGGCAAAAAAAGTTTGTTATCATCGCACGGTAGCGCTCGCCATTCACAGTTACGTTCCGGCCATTGTCGTCTTTGAAGAAGTACGGCCCGATGATGCCACCGGCCTGTAATCCACACCAAACAGTGATTTTTTCGGGATGCATTGGTAGCTCTTGCAATGCTTCTGGCTGGTCTTCACTCCAGATGCGGCAATTTTGCTTGTTAACGTACCCATTCAACCAGAAATGAGCTTCCTCCAACTTTGCCAGCGCCTATTCACCGAATTGGAAACGTTGTGGGAGGTCGTGTGGCTTCAATTCTTGCACCAGCTGTATCTTATAAGGTTTTACATCCAAATCCTGTCGCAAAATTTTCCACGTAGTGGAGTAACAGATGCCCAGTTGCTGCGAACGGCGGCGAATCGACATTTCACGGTCATCACTAACACTGGCGGATACAGCCGCAATATTTTCTTCAGTCATCACTCTACGTCTGCGTGTTGGTGGTTTAATGTCCAATAATATAAACTGGGTTCGAAATTTAATCACAAGCTTCCGAATAGCTCCCTCAGCAGGCCGACCAAATTGCCCATAAATTGGAAGCAGTGCTCGATGCACTCTCTTAACCGAGCATGAATTTTGATAGTAAAATTCAATAATTTGCAAGGGTTGTTCGTTCGTAAGTCGACTCATGGTTAAATTATAGACCAAACTGAACAAGTTTGACAATGACACAAGACACGAATCACGCGCCATCTGTCAAAAACAGTGTTGCCAAAAAGATACTAGCAAAAAAATCACCCATTAAAATCATTTTACTGTGAGTTCTATTTTTTTTGTCATTACTAATACATCAACTTCCAGAAGCCTCACCTTTTCTGTAGCTCCTCACAATCCTCAGAATCAATGATAGTAACCGTTGCATACAAGATCTCGCCGAAGAATATATACAGCAAGTGCAATCGACATAATGTTCGACACTTCTTGGTGACATACTCAAAGGTGCAAGGTTTGCCGAACCTTTTAAAATCGACGAGGGCTACGAAGAAGGGCTCCCATCTGCGGTGGAGGGCCGACATCAAGTAGTACATGAGGGAGAATCCTGCTCCGCCTACTATCACTGAAAGGTCTTCGCTCATGTTGAACTCCGCATGAGCTTCCAAAAAAATATATATGTCTTACTTATCCGTCTGTATTAGTCATAAGAGAGATTAAAAAACGTAGTCAAGCTACGAGGATGGTTCCAGAAGTACCCGATCCAACGAAGAAAACACAAAATTTTTGTAAAAAAATGTATTTATTTTTCAAAATAATCTCCTTTGATCTCAATACACTTTTCCCAGCGATTTTAGTTTTTTAGATTTTAGTTAGATACCCTTTTTATAATAATAACTGACTTGCTCCTCAAAATAGCCATTAACTGCCGACATCACTTCTTCATCGTTGGAAAATCTTTGAATACTGAGCCATTTTTTCAGGTTTGGAAACAGAAAATAATCCGAGGGGGCTAAATCTGGTGAATAGGGTGCAGAGGTAGCAAACTTTAATTCGTTAATTTTGGCCATTGCGTTAGCGGATTTGTGCGCTGCTGCATTGTCTTGATGAAACAACACTTTCCTCTTAACCAAATGCGGCCGTTTTTGGTTGCTTTCATCGCTCAAACGTTGCAATAAGTTCGCATAATACTCGCAGATGATAGTTTTACCTTTTTCAAGATAGTCAATGAAAATTATCCCACGCGCATCCCAAAAAACCGACGCCATAACCTTGCCTGCAGATGAAACGGTCTTCGCCTTCTTTGGAGCCGGTTGTCCCTTTTGAGTCCATTATTTTGATTGTTCTTTTGTCTTGGGTGTGAAGTGATCGACCCATGTTTCATCCATGATTATGAAACGACGCAATAATTCTGCTTTGTTGCTGTGAAACCTCGCTAAACACTCAATTGAAACATCTTCACGACACTGTTTTTGGTCGATTGTGAGCAATCGCGGCACCCATCTTGCACACAGCTTTCTCATGTCAAAATTTTCAGATAATATGCGATGAACCGCACTTCTTGAAATGCCTACTATGTCTGCTAGCTCGCACACTTTCAGTCGACGATCATTCAGTACCGCTTTGTGAATTTTCTTCACCATTTCTGGAGTCGTTACCTCATTTGGTTGACCACTGCTTTGCTCGTCTTGGCAGAGTAGAATCTAGGTCAGCTTTTATATTGGTTGGGCTGAGGCCTTTGAAATAAAAGTATCGTACCACATAACGATGACCAATTTTCTCCATTTTCGCAAATTCACTGAAAACGTTTAGTATTGATGGCTGCTAAACTAATACTAAACAACGTGGCGTCTTCAAACTTGACACATGTTTTATAGGTTGCATACTTTCTAATACAATGATATTTTTCAAACAACTATCGCCATCTCTAGGTCAGGCCTGGTACTTCTGGGACCTCATACCATATGGGAAGCATTATTCTGAGTTTTTGGTTAACAAGCCTCTTGCAAACAGTCTCCTATCTATGACATCATCAAAACAACAATGTTTGACTTACACAATATGCTTCCTGAACATGGAATAAAAAAAGCAATGAATCTTTCAACTATTCTAGGGCTATTTTTGACGATTTTATAAAAAAATGATCCAGTCCCCATTATGCGGATCGAACAAGATTTCTGCATTAGTAGATTACTGTATTCAAAGCTTTAATAAGCAAATTAACTGAAAGTCACTAATAATCTCTATGTACTCTAGTTGTAGACTACCAACACTATCAGTTATACTGGGATCATTTCTTATTAAGTTCCTGTTAGCTTGACCTGACGTTACCTGCTGGGGTCCAGACTTGGGACCCTTTAAGTTATTCTCTACAGGGTCATCTAAGGTTATCGCCGGATGAACTGGAACTTTTGTAAATACTTTTTGTAGATTAGGTAGTTTCATGTGTAGCCTTTGAGAATAAATTTCCGAAAATGTTGTTCGCCCTGTATCTTCAGAACAAAAACCGACAAAGAACTTTTACTTCGGTTTTGGGAACATTTTAATATTATAATGACAATAAGACAATATTCACTGTATAAAAATGTCCATGAATTAATCTCACTTAGCAAGAACTATTACAAATGAATAAGGTCAGAAAGGCACTGGAAAGCTGTGTTCCCGAAAAAAGTCAACAACAAGAAATTAGTTGGAAAAATTGAAAGAAGCAACTACCTACAATAGTTGGAAGTAGTTGCTTTAAATATTTTTTCCTGTAACGATGAAACAAAATATATCTCTCAAAAAATCAAATGAGGTTGAAAAGATTAAATGTTTTTCGCGTATGAAAAGACACTGGTTGAGAAAATACAATTTATTGCGTTCTAAAAGATTCTCAGAATCCACCAAGCCTTCCAAAAATAACTAGAACCTTTTGTGCAAGCTGACGACAATTATTGAACTCTGCGGTGGAATAGTACAACATGATGTACGAGTTTCAAACTAATACAAAGGCGAATTCGATACGCGCCTCTCTTTAATTCGTCAGACTAACAAATGAGTATAGTCAAACACGATATGTAACTTCTTATACTGTGAAACCTGTAGAGCAAATACAATTTTAATTGCATCACTATGTAAAATTTACAAGATTAATCAACTCTGTTTTATTCCATCGTTTTCGGAACAGCTCTCAATCCTTCTCACTAAATGGCTCTACTTTTATAGCGTGTTCTACTTACAGTTAGTTATGAATATCAGATGAAGTATAGGTCCCAGATCTATCAATATCAATATAACCATCTTCACAATAGTATTGCCTATATAAAATAACCTCAGCTTTCCCCCTTTCAGGCCTTCGGGATAAAGCCAGAGTGTATCGAACACCTTTAAAGTCGTGTGGAAAGGCAAGTCCTTCCTAACGGAGTACATATCTATCAAGAAACTAAATATTATGTGTGATACGACCGATGCTGTCAATAATAGACAGCTTTGAGCTTTTCTCAAGAATCTCTTTTCTTCTTGTAGCCTTCTAGAATATTTTATCTGCTTCATTCATCTACAATTGTGGTTAATGTCAGTATACGGTAGGAAAGGTGATAGACATGATATCTCAAAAAAATATTTTATGAATACGTCAAAGATCCTTATCCCGATTATATTGAATTTCTGTAGTATTATTCACTGCAATAAGATGTATATTCAGTATCAACTAAAACATAATTATGATTTCCAGTAGCATCTCGGGTACAATCTCACGAATGATATTGCCAATAAAATGTACGCCGGTGACTTTTTTTAAAATACATTATATTTCTGAATAAATAGCTAATGGTACAACATTTTTGTCTCTTGGTAGTCGTATCTTACTTTCTTTGCGAGAAAAAACATAACTTTACAAAACATTACATGTCGCGACATTACTTAAATAAAATCAAATCAACTTTGATCGTTGCCGAGGAATCTTATTCTAATATTATCATCATGCTTTTCAATTGTTCGTGACAGGCTGCTATTATTTTTTTCTGTCAAAATCCATTGACAACACACTTTTTTGGAAACGTGTTTATTTGTTAATATGAACTTTTTTACTTGAATTTGGTTCTGGAATACGTCCTTGTAATTACATCCTAGCATTGGAGAAGCACCAGAAAAGTGTAGTTCTGAAATAACTTATTCTGAAAACAACGATTGCATAATTGTCTTCATATTCATTTTAGAGGGCTTGCTATTTACTGTACGAATCTCACTTTTACTGTGAGCTTTTCCAATCTTCTGCCACCAGGTTTATCATTTTAGTAGTAGAAATCGTTAATTTCATGTTATAGATATATTGAGTACGTACCAGTCTTTGTGAATGATCATTGAAATGTGGTACAGTATGTTACCAAAAGTATTGTACAGCCGATTATCATACACATAAATGGCAACATTGGCTTGCTGATGTCTGAATAATGAAAATATTCGACTTGACTGCCTACGCCCAAATTCATCAAATCAAACAAATTCAGCATTTGGATAGATAACACTACTAATTAAGGTATCCTCCCAGCGCCCTAGTCCATAAAGCGATTCTAGATTGGAGAAAAGAGAAGGATGCGCTTCTTGGTACAAAAAGTGTCAGATGATAGCAGCAACACTTATCGGGAAGATTAAAATACATTTGAAAGAGATGTAACACCTGAAACTGAGCCTGTGGTTTTCTTGTACTTAACATCCTTCCCCCTTTTTGACAATATTGTCAAAAAGTGTCAATTAAACGTGGGTCCGAAACGTCGTTGAATAAAGAGGAATTTTAAACATTATGGTTTTGATTTAGCCAGAGAAGCACGAGGGATTATTGTAGGGATGCTGGCGACTCACTTTTTACGATTCATCTTAGTTTTACTGAAGTTTTTTTTATAAGAATTAACTATTACAAAGCTGTTCATGTACCAGGTTCTCTTCAAGCTGAGCTAATATGTAATACATGAAAAATTAGGATTAGTTGACAACTACGTTGAATTTTAATTCCACTTTGCTAAAAGGACTCCATTTATCTGTGCTAGGGATTTCAAATTCGGAAACGGTAAGCAATGCCATACAAAATCGTTTATGAAGGCAAAGATGCGCACTTAGGTAACTGACAAAATGTTACTTAGATAGTTTGGATATTCAGGGTACTTTTAGAGAGATAGAAAATACGAATTTACCCTGAACCGTTTTCATTTTCTC